GGCTCCCACTTATGCTACACCTCCTAAGTCATTTCACAAAGTCGGACTAGAGTCAAGCTCAACAGGGTCCTCTTTCCCCGCTGATTACCCCAAGCGCTGGGAATCTTGTTAATCCATTCATGCGCGTCACTAATTAGATGACGAGGCATTTGGCTACCTTAAGAGAGTCATAGTTACTCCCGCCGTTTACCCACGCTTGTTTGAATTTCATCATCCATCCATCCATCCAGCCAGCCATTCATTCATTCATTCATTCATTCGTTCGTTCATTCATTCACAGGCTGGCTGGCTGACATGAACCACACAAACGGCTCAGTCCTGCTTGACCTTTGGGCTTTCTGGGACCACCTCGCGTTCGGAAATCACAAGTTCATGCTGGTGAAAGCCACAAACGAGCTGGAGTAAGGAAACCGCATCCTTTGGGTCTTCTTCCAAGACCTCAGCTGAGTTCGGCTTCCCCTTCCAGGGTGCCCTGCCGTGCCCTGCCTTCAGGGATGCCATCGGTCCGCTCTGGAACTCCCTCAGGCTGTCCCGGGCCGCCTCCAGCTGGCGTTCCCCACATGCCAGCTCCTCACGAATCCAAAACTGTCAGCCATCCCGGAGGCTGGCATTGACCGAGAAATCGTCACTCCTGCTCCGCCTCTTTCAAGAGCTCTGCAGCCTGGCCTTCATGGCCTCCAGGTCGATCCACTCTCCCATGTTCTTATTTCAACTTATTTCTTATATAGTTCTTCTCTTCGGTTCACCCAATACCGAGACAGGAGTTTCAGACTAAGACATCTTGAAAGAAACAAGAACTGCCGGTCGCTTGGCCGAAGCTTTGTAGGCCGTGGACCCTGGGCTTGTCGAAGGTCCAGCTCCGCCAGCCGAAGGGCATGCGCACTTTGGGCTTGCTGGCGCCTGGCCTGGCACCCCGGGTCTCGGCCCCCCAAGTCTCGGCCTCCCAAGTCTCGGCCCGCCTCGGCAAAGGCCAAGGAAGCCGTGGCTTCCACCTTTTCAGCCTCCTGCCATTGGAAAGCGAATCAACGGCCCATTGCCCATCGCGCCGTCCTCGACTTCCAACTGCTCCTCTTCTGCTGATGGCACTGCCTGAGAGGTTCCGTGCATTCCCGTTCGTTTCATGCAACCGTCAAGCCGCTATGAGACGACTTGTGGCTTGCTTCGCATTCGCATCAAGCCGAGTGCTCCAGCCTCCAACAGCTTGGAGAATGTCGAGTTCAGCTGCTGCAGCACAGCGTTGTCGAAGGCTCCACGCTTCTGCGCGCGCAAGGAAAGCTCCGGTAGTCTGGCAATTCTCGTTCGGTTTTTTAACTCATCAAAGCACCACGACGGCGCTACTACTTACTTCACAACCTCAAACGATGCACTCTTTTTTCTGCGTGAAGGCGGTTTGTGCCAGATAGGCGGGATTGGCCCCAGTTCAACTGGGCCGCACCCCTCGCCGGCCCCATGAGCAGGGAATCCTCCACCTCACCGTGCGCCCTCCCGGCACTATGGCTGAGGAAGGCGGCGAGGATCGACATGGTCAATTTGCTCCTGACAGTTGGAAAAATATTGTTCTCGACCGGAAAATTGGGATCCGGATGAGTGGGTTCATCTGCCCACGTATTGAAGTCACGTTTCGCATGCGACGGACCAAGCATGACCTGGCTGTCACGCAAAGTCAACACGAGTTCCGGCCGCGCTGGGCATCTTGCGGGAGGAATCGATTGAAAGGGAAAACATCAAACAACCAAGATACGAAAGTAAGAGCTCCGCCCAGGGCTCCCAGTCTGGAGTGACCTTGTACTGGAACCACTTGACTTGGTTCTTCCCCTCCACCCAACACCAGCAGGATGATCCGCCTGTTTGCTGGCGCCTGCACCTGATGCTCCCACCTGGATTGGGGCCAACAGCATTGTGGGGTCCACAGCAAATCCCAGCCAAGCGTTTACTGTGGAGAGCGCTGCTTTCTTCCACGACAGGGGAATTCCCTGCCGCACCGCCGGATTTGCGGCCGGGACAGCGCTGCCTTGGCCTTAGCCTTTGCCTCTGCCGCGCTGGCCAGCATGCTTGGGAGCGTACCCAAGTGAACCCTTACTCTGAGTTAAGTCAAGTGCACACCTACGGCTACACGTTTGCCGTCTAACACCAGTTGGCCGAACAGGAACTTTTGCCAAACGCAATTAAAACGCCACAACTCTGGCTCTGGGCCTGAACCCATCGGCAAAACGTCTCACATCGTGAGCGAGCCTCTGGCTCCAGCTTGAGCGAGGAAGCGGCTGCATTCTTGAGAGACTCTTCAGGAATCCGAGCCTGAGACTCTCAATGCATATGGAACTCTCTTTCTCTTTCTCTTTCGCCTTCTCTTTCTCTTTCTCTCTGTCTCTCGCTCTCTCTCTCTCTCTCGCTCTCCGCCCAGGGAACGAAGGAGCCAAAGTGCTTAAAGCATGATGCTATTCTGCTCGCATTGCATGGGAGCATGTTCTTTGAACAAGCGCGCAAGTCAGAAGCCTAACAATCCCCGTTCCTCAAATCATGTGATCGAGGACTTCTGCGAGATCCAGCTCCAATTCTGAGAGCCATTCGAGGAGAGGTCCGACAGCATCTGCATGGAGCTGAAGTTCCTCAAAGCGAGCAATTCGTGGTCCCCTCGTTTTCATTCGGAGGGCGGGGACGCAGCTCCCATTCAGGATGGCCGGCATGTGCCTGCGACTACATAGATCTGGCCAAGAGCGTCTCCATTGCCGCGTTGCCTGTGGACGGCCAGCTCCAGCTCTTCCTTGCTGCCCGTCACCTGTACCGGCTTGCTCTCTGAAGCTTTGGACACGGGCCGGGCACCAGACAAGAGCTATGAAAGTTTGCATCACGATAATCAGGGTGAGGAAAGCAGCAAAATAATTGTTGTAAGGTCGAGTGAGGCATCACTCTGGCTGACTTTCCAGCCTCCTTCAGCGCAGAACGATGGTTTGTAAGCTCCTGCACAAGTGCGGAGAGCATGGAGGGTTGCTGATTCTGAATGCTCGCAAGCGACAGCTCACAGCTCCTCCGTGGCCTGATCCAAGGTCTTGCGTGCTATCTGCAGGCTTTTGTTATCCTCCAAGAAGACTGCCTGCCACTGGGTGCTCTGCAAGGAAGTGGAATCAGATGTATGTGGGGACGGAGCTTGGCCAGAGTGATGCATGCTTTCGTCTTTTTGCAGTGTTCAGCACACCCTGCACTCAGCCGCTGTCGCTTGGAGCTTGCATACACACCCGTGGTTCCATGACATACGTTCTATGGTCCCACCAAATACAGGTAGACTCAATGCACTGGTTCAATGTTGGCAAAGCTGACCTGTGTGTACAAACACGAGGCCTGTCAACGCGATTAGAGAGACATAGACGCAGTTTTCTCAAACATGTTTTGTTCAGGTAGCCGATGGGAATTTTCCTGAAGTCATGAGCTGCAAGAATCCGCGTTGCTGGTGTGTTTTAGAGTCTTCCATGCAATGCACAAAAACACCAAGAACACAATTGGGACTTGTGGCCACGTATATGCCCTGCGCTTCTTTTGTGGAGCAGGGGGCTGACTGTCAATGCAGCTGCTCCCTGCATGCCTTGGCAGACCGGAACGCCGCTGCCGCCGCAACAAATTCCTGGTGTGAGTAGTTCTCACCGGTCCAGTCAGTCAGATCAGTCGCGCACCACAAAGGTATTCCATGTGAGGAAATTACATGAGGGCGAGTGTTTGACTTGTGTCAGGATGCTTCCGTTGGGTGCAAATGGCAAAAGCCCAGCTCGCCTTCTTGGTGTCCTTCAGATCTTTGGCTTTGGCCTAAGATCGAGTCTCTCTCCCTCTCTCTCTTGTCACAAAACCTGCCTGGACCATGTCTCGATACTTCTCCGCCTTCGAGGAAGCACGCTGCAACTGTATGCATGCCAAGACAAGTTGGAAAGACAAGTCTGCTTCGTATTGCTTTGTTCCCATTGTGAGCCTCTGTTGCAGCTTCTTCACACTCAAACTGGAGTGCCTCCTTTCCGCTCTGGAAAGCCTTGCCGCGATTGCTCTGCCAACTGCACCTTTAACCAGGACCAGCCGCATGAGCCGCCCCCAACCCCCCCCCCCCCCCGGTCCTCCGCTGCTAACTGCGCACCCGCCACTTGGATCTTGTGGCGCTCCTCGCAGAGCTTTCGGCGTACAGTCGAGTGGGCAAACCAGCAGTGCCAAATCCAAGCCCTGCTAAAACGGCCCAGCAAACAACCTTGGCATTGGGAGCGGAGGATCCGGCAAACTGTATCTCAGAAACTCCATGGGCAGGGATGATTAGCTGACTGAGTTTGTGCCCATAGATGCATGAAAATGATGCGCAAAAGAATAGAAGAACGCTCAAGAATCAAAGACTGAAAGCAAAACGTCACGGCCCGCAAAACCCCTGTGTGGCTTGCGAGAAGCAGCGAATTTTACGGCTTCCGCCAATCCCATGCCTGAGGAGGGCTGCACAGGCTGCCCTTGACAAGCAGTCGCAGCCTTAGGCAGGCCGTAGAGGTGTCAGCGCTTCCGGCTCGTTCACAACACAAACATCCTCGCAGTGCCTCGTGCCCAACGTTGTTCCATATTGGAGGGAGCAAAAACACAAACTAAGTCACTGGCAACTCCCGGCCACTCTCCGACACATCCAAGAGCTTGTCCACTGCCTCTGTGAGTCCATGGGTAACATTCAAACGCAAGATCGGAATGCGTTTTTGAGACAAGTTTGCTGCGAATCCTACATTTTTAGGGGTAATATGTATTTTTTGCACAAAGGACTGCCCATGTGATACAGGGCGCGTACCTCTTCCAAGTTTGCCAGGCATGCATGTCTGGACGGTCTGACCAGACTTGCGGGATCCTGAAGCGTCAAAGCAGGAGTCTGCAGCACAAGCGCAAGGCTTGTCCTCCAAACAAGGCTTCTTGTTGGGGACTGTCGGGTAACTCCTTTCACATGCCATATGCAATTTCAAACCTCCATCAGAGCGCAAGCAACATGCCCATTCGAATTGCGTGTCCTTCGGCGCTTCATCTCCAAGCCTTGCGCTCACCAAGCTTTGCTTGCTCTCTTTGGATGGTGAGCCGTAGCACAGTCAGTTGATAAGCATGCAGCGGTCAATGTCGCTAAGCGCCCGTCCATCTTCCCTCCCTTTTGGTGCCATTCAGCCGCAGCTGCAAAGGGTCTAACACTTTCACAAATCTTTGCACATGAACAAGGGCTGTGGCTGCCGTAAATCACTTGCGTGGAAAGCTAATTCGGTGCTAAAAGTAAATGGTTCCGCATGCCTCCGCTTGCTACTCCCACCGGCCAGCGAGCCAGGAATCAAAGCAATGCTGACAAGAACCAAGCAATGGATCCACCAGTTGCTTTTTGCCCCATCTTTGTGGCGCCGCGTCTCATGCCTCGCCTCACACATGCATCTGGGCCACCGACGCCTCCTCGCTCCGAAGCCCTGGTCCTTCTGCTCACGTGCTCCAGTTACAGCTGCTTCACCAGCCCGCACGATGCCCGACCTCCGGACTAGACGGAGAGCGACATGGTGTGGCGCAAATCCGCGCTGGACGCCCCGATGTGCAGCTTGATGCTGTGCTGAAGCTTCCAGCCGTCCAAGTAGACGGAGAGGTCTCTGCTTGTGAGGCTCATGGACACCGTCTCCGACGCGCCGGGCTCCAGAATCTTTGTCTTTTGGAATCCTCGCAGAACCAGCTTGGGCTCGTTCGCCTCTGGAGGAAACCTCGGCTCATACCAGTTCGCATAAGCAGAGCATCTTTAAAGACACGGCTCATGACTCAGATGCATTGACAGCTTAGGGTGGCGCTCCACATAAGCCTGCACGACCTCTGCACCGTTTCGGCTGCCAGTGTTGGTCACGCGAGTCTCCACGCAAATTCGCGCCTGGCAGCCCTCCGATTGCTTTGGTGGATCAAACGCGAACTCCGTATACGACAGGCCATGCCCAAATGGGAACGCTGCGAAGTTGCCCGATGCCCGGTAGGATGTGAAGAGCCCTTCGCCGTACACGGCATCCAACTCTGTAGATGGCGGAATGGTGTGATTCTCATGGGTTGGCAGCATGATGGGCAGCCTTCCTGAGGGGGAGAAGTCACCAAACAACAAAGATGCCCAGGCGTTGCCAGTGAATTCGCCACCAAGGAACATCAGTGCCACAGCAGCGACTTCATCTTTCCAAGGCACCATAATTGTCCCTGGAACCTGCATCAACACAATCACTGGCTTTCCTTCTTTGGCAATCGCATTGATGAGGTCGTCAGCCCCATTGTCCAAATGCAAAGACTCACGATCCCTGCTTTCCTCTGCAGTCGTTGCGCCCAAGACAACAACCGCATCTGCATCCTGAATTGCAGCTAGCGCTTCAGTAATGTTGTTTGTCAACGAACTTGAAACGGCTATGCCCAAATCTTTTGCTCGCTCTGAGATGCTAGTGAAAGGGGTTGTGAAATTCTCGGGAGGTATGTAGCAGTGCCCAGACCCTCCTCCACTGTAGTAATCCCCCATCATTCCCACCTCATCTGTCCCTCGGCTGGGTGCCACCCATGGCTCGCCAATCAAGGCCAGCCTTTTGACGTTTTTCAGGGGCAGCACAGCCTCGTTCTTCAGCAAAACAATCGATTCGGCCACGGTTCGCCTCGCCAGGTCCTCAGCTTCTGGGGACCTCTGGTCAGAGAAGATGGCGGCCACGCAGTCTTGGCCCGGAGTGCAGCTGGGCATCTCGAACAAACGCATCTTATGGGCGGCCGACAAAATGCGGCGGGCGGGGTCGCGGTACACCGCGCTTCGATTCACGCCGTAGCCCTTGAAGTCTCCTGCCTGGCTCTCCTCCATCGTCTGCAGTGCCTCCGGATAGAAGAAGGTGTCGCCGCCCGCCCCGGGCATTTCCATATCCAGGCCCCGCACCACTGAGGTGTCCACAGAGTTGTGCAGCGCCCACCAGTCGGTCATCACGAAGCCGCGGAAGCCCATCTTCTGCTTCAGGTCGCGCCGCAGGAGCTCCTCGTTGGCGCACGCGTAGGTGCCGTTCACCTTGTTGTAGGAACACATCACCGAGCCAGCGCCAGCCGCCACTCCGGCCTCGAACGGGGGGTAGTAGAGCTCCCATGCCGTGCGCTCATCCACCACGGAGCTGCCATAGGTGCGGTGAGTCTCTTGCTCGTTGAAGGCAAAGTGCTTCAAACAGGCGATCACACCTTCCGCCTGGCAACAGAACTACCACTCTACCACTCTACCACTCTACCACTCCACTTGAGACGTCTTGACACATGCGCACGGTCGCCTGGACGCCAATCACATAAGCCTCCGAAAGCTTAGCTCCCAAGTATGGGTCCTCTCCTTGGGCAAGGTGGCCTTCTCTGGACACAAACTCAGGTGCCCCTCATCTGTAAACCCTTCCAACTCTGCGATCGCATCCACTGCTTTCTCGATCAGTGCAAGCCATGCAGCCGGCCATGTACTCAAAGTTTCGACCTCACAAGCAACAAGTTCGGCAGCAATTGGATCCTTCTTGCGAAAGGCCCCGGGGAGGGCGTGAGGAAAACCAGAAAACCAAGTCGGCCGCCGTTGCTTGCCACTCTTTGAACCTTCCAGCGGCTTACGGTTGCGAGGCATTACCTACAAAAAACAAGAAACAGGCTGGCAATTGGGCAGGTGCACCTGCCTGCACACTGGGGCCCAAAATGACATTGGCACCTTTGCCGCGGTACTCCCGACCAATTGCACCAGCAACCTTCATCAGGGCCCAGCAAGTGGAAAACACCACAATCGACGAAGCTTGCCAATGCAGCTCTGGCACCTCCTTCACAAGGTGTGTATTCCAGGTTGCTCCGAAAGCCAGCGAACAAGGCCACATGATCTGAGCTGGTCAAAATTGTTCATCTCTCTCTCTTTCTTCTCTCCATACTCTGCTTCATGCTCAATCCACTCTGAACAAGGTTCGTGGGATTGCCGACAAGGAGCAGTACTTCCAAGCTTTCCTTGTCCGCCCGGCATATTTCGAAACCCATTGCCCGCGTCGTGCAATTTCAAGGGGGGAACTCCCAACCGAGGAAGCGGAGGAAGATTGCCCATGTAGTAGCCAACTCGGCAAGCAGGCAGCAACATGTGCAAAGCAACAAATATGATCGCTCGCTTCCAGCTCATGTTTGGAAAATAAATCAAGCAATTGACCAGAGCCAACGCGTTTATTCTTCATGACTCCAGAATGTTCCATAAAGCCAAAACACATTTGAGCCAATGTGTGATCCAGTCAGAAAGGAACAACTCTAGCAGTGAGCAACTCATTTGGAGAGCCTCTGGAGCTGAACGTACATGTATGCAATTGCAACACGTCATCTGTTTGGGAGGCAGCTGATTTCTCGTATGCACTTCAAGCATGCACTTGCAAGTGTTGGATTCCGTACATCTTAGACTCTTGCAATTTTGCCTAACAAGACAAATGCCTGTACCAATAGAAAATTGAATGTTAAAAAGATGTTTTATCTCTCTCCACGCTGCGTGCACAAACTAGGTCATTGGCGCTTTGGTAGGGCAGGTAGAGGAGATGGCAGCCAACGCGGAATGGAGATCCAACCCACTCCCTATGGCACCAGGATGCGAAAGAACTGACAGTCTTCAAGGCTGACGAGAGCTTCAAGAAGTACAAGCGCGCCTGCATCAACATGTGGCACTCTTCGTCGGTCATTTGTTCCAGCGTCCAGGCTGCTCTATTCTCCGCTTCCTCAGTGCAACAGCTGCAACAGCTGCAACAGCGGCAGTCAGGCAGAGCGCTCCTCCCAGCTGAGAGGAGAGATGGGACCACAAAGCACCGCCTGTTGCGCCTGCCAATCGGCAGAATCCCACATTCAAGTGTTCGACTGTAACTCCATGGCTGCTTTGGCCGACTTTGCATGCACTGAATGAATTCAACGACCGCAAACTGTCCTCTCCTGCGAGCTCGAGCACAGCTGCTTGCGGAGCCATGGGGTTTCCACGATGGTCTCATTGCCCACGTTGTATCTTGGAAAGATGTCCTGAAAACAAAACAGTGACGCGACAACATACGACACGCACAAGTTGATTGCAGCAAAAACTCCTCAGCTATAGCCATTGGAGACAGCACCATCACTACCTTGCTCATGTCAGATTCAAGAAAGCCGTGCACTTCAACCCAAGTCAATCAGCAATGCTCAAGCCAAGTTGCTCGAGCAATTGCTGCCAATACGACAACGAAAATGAACCTGCCAGTATTTGACTGCCAGCTTTTCCAGCAGCAACCTGCAGTTGGCTCACCCCGGCTACACTTTCAATGTTCATGCAACGCTGTGCCTACCAAAGCAGCGAGGAAAGAGCCAGTGCTGCAGGCTTTCCAGGCATGATTGGCTTGCCAATCATCACTTGGGATGTTCCCTGCCTGGATCAGCGGCAATTCGGATTCGTACACCAAAACCGATTGCCATGCTCGTGAAGTTTAGCCAGGCTGCGTAAAATGCTATCCAGAAGAGGATCAGGCTGGAGATGAGCAGCGGCAGCCTCCTGTTCACCCATTTCACAGCAATCTGGAATCTGGAATCGGTTGGTCCTGGACGCCAGCAAAAGTCCGATCAGCAAGTGCGGCAGCTGCATTGACAGCAGCGGACTTGGCTATTGGACGCTTGAAAATCCCAATGCCATGCACAACACTGAAGCCGTTCAGTTGACATCGTCAAGCTCGGCCAAGTGTCAAGCGCACCATTCGCACGGAGACCAGCACGCATAACAGAACGCCGAGAGCTGCATGCAGCCCTCTAAGAGGCGACATTGCATCCACGATAGGAAAAAATCCCGTTTTGGGCCTAAATAATCAACAAAACTGGCACTCAAGCCGAAACGGCGAACTTTTTGCGCGCAACTTCAATTCAAGCTTGCCTTGAGCGCTAAGACCAAAGAGAACTCAACCAGAAAAGCACGTTGTGTTCTGCACCGACTCATTTCCGGTCTGAAGCTTCCGCGCGCTGCGGTGGTCTTGGTGGTTGTGACACCAATTGGGAATGCCTAAAGCACTGCGCATCGTGGCCCCTCACCGAAGCTCAAGAACCTTCATCAATGCAGCGAAGCTCATGAAGAGCAAGCAGAACAGCCATGCAAGTCTTATCCAGTGTAGAATCTCAACAGAAACCTGATCAGCGATAAGGCATTGGATGTGCACTCTATAGCCCGGCCTTTCGTAGATTTACCCGAAGAAGCTGATCGAAATCGGTCGACCTCGCCCCCGACAGAAGCGGCTTTCAGAGTGTTCTGCCTTGTACAATGGGCGAGCTTGGAAGTAGATGCTCGACAATAGAGCGTATCATTCAGAGTATGGCATGGGTTAAGCCAATGCGATGTGGAAAAAGAGCCAGTTTGCAAGGAATTGTTTGATAACAGAAAGCCATGCTCTCGTGCTACAGCGTCTTCCCATTCTACTCAATGCATGATATGTAGTTTGAATACGCCACCTCAAAAGCAGGAAAGCAAGGCCTGCTCTTAAATCAGAATGCGCTTGTCCTTCAATCACAATGTGATTTCATAACATAGACAGAAAGTACCATTCCAAAGAACTAGAAAAGTAAGAATAGCAGCAAGTGCAAGAAGAAAACAAAGCTCAAAATGTACACAAAGTGAAGAACAGCTTGCAAATGTGTCTTCCCATAGCACCGGAGGCAAACTGGAAGTTTCTTTCTGCTGAGAAGCCTCTGGCAATTTGCCTTGTTTGCCTGTCCCTACCCGCGCACATGCTGTAAGTCTTGGACCAGCTTCAGGAATTCTGTCAAGATCTCTTCTTGACCAATGTACCCATCGCTGTCAAAGTAGCTACCGACGGAAGTCTGGCACGGAAGAAGCTGCAACAAATTCCGAGACAAATGATCACTGAATGCAAAAACAAACATGGCAAACCATCACACCAGCATGAGTGTCTTGATGCTGTTGGCATGGCTTCAAGTCACAGTGGCTGCATGAATGTCAAGAAAAGAAAGGAGGCAGTTTCCGTAATGCATCCAGCTGAAGGTCTGTACACTTAGTACAACTACCCCTTGGAAAAGTATGCTGCATGCATAGCTTCCTTTGTAAAAACTGATTTGGCTATGAATGCAATAATTTTCACATGTTCCTTCCCAGCGCCAGCCTTGTGCGAGACAACTGCTTGCTTCTTCCTTAGCACTGCACTGCTTTGTACAGCCGTGGAGCTGCGTCTTCAGACATGCAAACAAACCCATGCTGCCAGGAAGCAGGCCAATCTCTGTCCTGCCAGGCAATGATCTCAGATTAGCTTCAGTTGGGGGAAAACAGAACTCGGCGAGCGTTTGTGGCACTGTCACCACAAGTCTTTCAGCCGCAGCCTCAATCCGATCTCCATCTCGTGCGAGAAGGGCAGCATTGTGACATCAACGAACACAGTCTTGCCGTTGACCTTAAGCTTCTCACGAACGGGAAAACAAATGCACCAAGCGGTCGATGCAATTTCCTGGGTCCAGCACTTTGAGGCAAATCACTGAAGTCTTGATGACCTGTCCAGTAATTTCTTGGAACGTGGTCAAATGTAAAAGCATTGCAATTGGTAAGGAGCTGGCCAGCATGTCTATCAATTGGACCAGTCCCGTAAAAAGGAAGTAGCCAGCCACGCAAATGCCTATGTAGATCCTATCCTGGTCGAAAAGCGGGCGTACACGCCAAGCATTCTTGCATGACCTTGCAGCAACCAGTCCTTGGGAAACTTGAGGCCAAACTGCGCGTAGCATCCAAAGGAACAGCAAATGATGCAAAGCATGATCCGGATGTTGGTCCAGAAGTGATCCTCCATAGCAAACAAGACTAGTATCCATCGGTTTCTGGGAAACGGCATAGTGGTTTGCACATGAATGGAAGGATCAAAATCACGTCCTCCTGAAAGCCCATTCGGGGAATCCTTAGAGGAAGCAAAGCAATTTGCCAATCCTGCATGAGCCAAAGTCAAATCATGTGTTGCTTGTAAGTGGGCATGATCTGCATTTCTCGAACTGCAACACCCGTGGGTGATAACCGTTGAGGCTCAACCTTGCTCCTGTAATTACTTCATACATTATTTGTCCATGTTCCACCGTGCTGCCGTGAGCATGCCAATTTGTTGCGTGGGTTCTGTGAACAGGTAAGGCGGCACCGCAGTGAAAGCAAAAATCAAATCGCTGCTGGGACTGCGGCGCATCATTAAAGAACTCCGATACCACCTGCGCATCTTTGCACAAAGCAAGCCCAAAAGAAGGGAGGTGTTGAACGGGCCTTGACCAGGTCAGTCTTGGAGTACAGGCTTCCCGCCTGCCAAATGCCAGCTTGCAAGTACCAAAAGCAACATCGATTCTCAACCAAGCACGGTACCTTCTTGTCTTCTACCTCTGGAAACCTGCAGCCAGTCAAAGTTGTCAAAAGCCAGCAAAAAGATGTCAATCGACAAATGACAACATGGCTGAGCTCCTGACTCATTGTCAGCCATCACGTCTCCGTCGAATCATACTAACCCGAACCCCCTGCAAGCCGAGTCATCAATACAGACAAAGCCATTCCTGCGGGTTAAGACACTCAACTCGATGAGACCACAGCCTGGGCATTTTTTGAGCCGCAGCTGAGCCCATGCTCACTTCAGCACAGCCAAACATCAAGTCATTGAAGCAAGACCTGGACGCAAAGTTGAGTAATATGGCCTTTCGATGCAGTCATTGCAATCTTCACAGCCTGAAGAAATGCAGAGCGATGCACGCAGCTAACAAGCACTGCCAACGGCACAAGAGACAGCAGCACCACGCACCGCCACAGGTGCAGCTGAACATGGACTACCACAACCATCAGAAGTACATCATGGTGAAACACACGATGCACCAGGCGTCAAGCGGCTTCCACCTTGGAGACAGAAAAAGGTACAACACGTTGTAGAAGAACATGACACCAGACTGGTAGAAGATTAATGGACAACACAACCACCACAAACATCAGGCAAGTCATGGACAGGATGGACGGAACATCTAGAAATTCCAAGCTTACTGGGGGGAACAACAACAAGGCACCAGGAATGGTACCAACGCCCAAGCAACACCACAGACTGAACTTGTGGCCGACACTGTGATGCACAGCACGAGGTGGACAACCCCTCCTCACCATGACATGATGCATTGATACCTGGCCACGCAACTCGGCACAAAACGGATAGTCATCCCTTCTGGGCAGGATAGCGGGATTCACCCATATTTCTTCTGATTCAAATCTGTTTTGAGATGATCTTCAAGGAACTCTGTCCCACTCAGTCGCGTCACACAAGGAGTCTGAGCCAGCCGCTTGCCGATGCACGGCAAGCCGTGAACTTGAAACCAATAGCTCTCACGCGAACCGAACCTGACATGCATCCCTATCTGCCCAATGTAGGCACCATGCAGCCTTTGGCAGGGTACTGCTCTTCCAGGTTACCGCCCAGCTCCAGCGTTCTCGGACGCGACCCTTCTCAACTTCTCAGGTGTGCAGATTGCCAAGCAAGTGGCCTTCTCGAGCACATTGCCATTTTCTATCAGCTTGGCAGTTCTGGACTCTTTCTGCAACGGGCCTCCAGCAATTCCAAGGCGCAGGTTGGACTTTTGTTGCTCGTGCAAGGCCTCTTTGACCCCGTTGCAGGGGTTGTATGCCTTGGGTTAGCAGCAATTTGGGCAGCAGTTATGGCAGAGCGGTCGCCCGGGGTCTTGAGTGCCACGAAGGTATGGTGCTGTGACAAACACTTCGCCTTCGACTACAGGCTTGCACCCGTGATGGGGAAGGAAGCCCACATTTTGTGAGTGCAAGAAGCGGCAGTGCGGCGTTTCAGACAATCCTCGCAGAATTGCCAAGGCAGTACTGCAGTACCGGCTTGACACGGGGCCAAAGCTACTTTTGCTTTTCAAAGCCGCCGCGGGTTGGATGTCTCTGGCGCCAAACTGTATCTCCGGAACCAAGCCCTCCCTTTGACGCTCTTGCTCTCATCAGTCGCCATGGCCCACTCCATGAAGTTCCTCCATGCTGCCTGCGTTCTCAAGCAGGAAGCGGACTCTGGCTGGGCCAAAGATTTGAAAAAGCATCCAGCAGACCATGTGAAAAGTGAAGAACACATTGCTTCAAGCGCAGAATCAAAGCCGGCCAGCTTTGGTGAGATCTTGGCAGGGGGAGCTTCCGATGAGAATGACGCTGATGCTTTGGCCTCTCGGAGAAGCATCCCACTGGCCGCAGCAACTTCATCTGCATCCTTAACATTAGGCAATAGCAGTGCCCGGCGGATCAGCCATTTTTCCCTGGGGTCCCAAGACTTTGTATCTGTAACAAGAGACCGCAAAGTATCATTGGGGGGGTAGCCAAGCAACTGCACTGGCACAGCCGTCTCACGACCATACGCAGTGCCATCAACCTGAGTGTAGCTAACACTCTTACATTGCTCAGCGTCGAGGTTTGCTTGCCTCAGTCCTTGCGCTGGCTCAGGGGCCTACAACAGCTCCTTTCCTTTCTGGGGGTCGGGAGAGAGACTCAGTGAGGATTTTTATTTCCAAACAGCCGACAGTCAATCGCGGCTAACCCCATGCTGACAGGGACCCTGTGGGCACATGGAAACACACACCACACGACCGCAAGCCGAGCAGAAACCACCCAGCCACCAAACACCAAGCGCTATTCACAGTTGGACGGCGGCACGCGGCGAGCAGCGGAAAACAACGAAAACAGACAAAAACAATCCAAAGTACGACCCTTGGCCAAAAAGGAACGAAAACGCACAAAATCAGTCTGGTTCGTCCACAAGACCCTCAAAGCAAGTCCAGGGAGGCTCATCCTGCTGCCGAAAATCCTCACCGACTGGCATTTTTCCATATGCAAGTCGGCAAGGAACCCCGCACCGAACTGGTACCACGTACAAACCACCTTGAAATGTTCCATCCACGCATGAAAGGGCTCCTCGAAAGAGGCATCGAGTAAACAACCAACTTCAGAATGCTGCAAATAGCATCGCCCTTTAGCGGATGCCGTCATGGTTTTCCAGTAAGCTTAATGCTCGCTGAATCGCAAATCAGAGAACCAGTCCGCAATAAATGTGAGAAATCCAACCCGCAAACTAGTTGGGACCAATAAAGGCGGATCCTTGATTCGGATGGCGACATGTTCACCAATAGGCCGGAAATCCTGAAGTACATTCTCATTGAGCCGATGAAGACCAACCAGGGAGGCTCTTGATAAATCAAATGAAAATTACGAAGCTCCCACCCAAAAGCATTTGCCGTCTGGTTTTGCGCACCACTTCTTTGTATCCAAGCAAATGTCTGGCCATCAAGGTCAGGGCCTGCTTGGCCGCCTCATCAGCAATATCATTGTAAAATGCAGTAAACCCAAGAAAGCCAACATGTAGAGCAGAGTCACGATGTGCCTTGATGTGCGTCAATACGAGATCGCCGAAGATTCAATCCCTCAATACACTCCTGAAAGTAGCTCCACATATCCCGGTCCCTTTTAGGGAATGGGATGCTGGCACCATCACGCATCGCTGTCAAGATACCAACAAAATACTTGGAGTCACTATAAACCTCAACTTCCTGGAAGGATACGCAGGCTACAGAGCCAGCCAGGATTTCAGCCCGGCCAATGTTCTGGTCCGCTCCAAACCCACAAGCCAATATGGGGAAGGTGCCACTCACTTGGGTCACAGCCCCCGCCGCAAGCCTCATCACACAAGTCGGGCGCAGGCATCCGTGAAAAAAACTTACAGGAAAGGACGCATAGTGTCCATCTCCGGAATACGGTCCCGTAGTTAAGGCATGTTGCACTGCTCCTATCTTGAACCCAAACCAGACCACCCAAAAGAACAAAGCAAGTCCGAAGCGGCCGCAGTTCTTTTAACCGGGATTGCTGAAAGTAGCACTGCTTCCAGGGCACGGATGCGCCTGGAGCAGGAGGCGCGTTGAGTGCATTCCTGCTCCGTCGCAGGTCGGGAGCCTGCCAGGCGCTAAGGAGATGGTCCTGGGCATTGCGGAGTGCAGTGGCAATGCTTGCCGGACAGAGCCTGTTTTGCTGACCCGTCCTACGCCTACCTGGGCAAGTTGCAAGGCCAGGGAAGGTGGGTATTCTGCAGTCAGAGTGCTAAGGTATACCCCTTGCTCCTTCACGCCTGCAATGCTTTGATGCTTATATGAGTGATTGCACCGGGCTTCCAGGGCCTGGATTTTCGCGCTATTGCAGCCGAAGGCCCCAGACTTGGAGAAGGTTTTTTCGTGCCTGCAGGCGTCTACCCACACCAAGGCGCGTTGGTGGTCGCGCAGCATCTGGAAATTGACATGGCAGAGGGCGGTTGTTCCCAGATGCTCACGCCTCCTTTGGAGACGACGGCTCTGAATAAGGCTCTACCGCGCTCGTGAATAGTTTTGCTATCCAGCAATTTTTGGCGTTGCGACGGCGAAAGGCCGGGCACCCCGTTCATGTGTTGCGGCGTTCTCAAGGCTTTGGGTCCGCCTGGGCGCAGCTTGAGTCTGGAGTATTCTTTGCAAGGCGGGGCAAGCATGATCAACACCACGATTCCTGACCAACACAGTCTGAGAAGCGCTTCAAAGGCTTCGTCGTCCAGTGTGTCATGCGCGGTGTTGACGTCCAGATCAAAAGGCTCAAAACAGTCAAGGCCAAGGCTTATGGCTGCTGATGCCACCGGGTGCAGCCTACCCGAAAACACGTCCAAAATCAACTTTTTGGAGGCCGAATGCAACGGCGGCTCTGATGAGCTGGCGTTATCGGGCGTGTGCTGCCCTGACTTTGTGCCAGGCTCATCGTGGTATGAGCAGGGCAAGGCCGGAGTCGGGGTAGCCTTTGCCGGCATGGGCAACTGTGAAGGTTGCGTATGGGGCCCGGTGTGGGGCCCGTCCGGCTGTGGTGTGGCTGCCCGATCCTGTTCCACGTGTGTTTGTTATGGTCCATGGCAGGGTGCTTCTGCTGGCAGCCCATGATGGCGCACACATGGGCGAAACGGCACTGGTCGTTAGTACAAAGGCCTGTCTGATAGCGTCGGCAGACTTCGCACCCTTTGCATGTGGTGCACCACTCTGCTTTGGGCTTGGACGCGGGCAGGGCTCCTTTGGACTTCCCCTTTCCTTTCTTGGGTGTGGGCGTGAAGGCTCGCGGGTTGGCTTAGTATCGCGCTTGGGTTGCCTTTGCCGCAGTGTTGTCGGGCGTGGTGGTGCTGGCACGGTCGGCTTGGATTCGACAGATGCGCCGCCTGGCACAGGGCCAGGGCATTGCGAAAGACAGTTTGAATGCGGGTGAGCCACCCCGCCGACAGCGAGTGGTGCTCCACTGAAACCTCAGGGGTGTCGTCAAAAAAAAAGGCTTGGCTCAGAAGCTGCAGTTCCGAACGTACTGCTCGGGATGACTTTGCCTCCATGCGTTCCTGGTACTGACGTGATGAAAGGCGGAACTGCCAGGGCACCCATTTCAGGGATTGTCCGGGCTTCAGGCCCTTGCGCACTAAGCTAAGAAGGCGGATGGATG